GACGACGACGGCGATGGCGACGACGACCACGACCACGACCACGACAACGACCACGACGACGATAACGGCTACGACAACGACGAATTCATTCCCCTCGACGCCACCAGACTCCTCTGAACTAAATGGCCAGCGAAATTGAACTTCGGAACGTGATGCAGGCGCGCCTCATCCACTAAGGTTAGCGCCTCGTACATCAGTGTGTGTAGCTTGGGCAAGTGAACACCTGGAACGTTGAGAGGTAATTGTTTCAACGAACCGTACCACTCCAAGAGACGATACCCACGCCCCTTCAACTTTGCCCAATCTGGAATGTCATGGTATTGGTCGATTATGAAAACTGCAAACCAGCACATCACAAGCGTTCCGTATGCTTTAAATTTCATCGCCCCCCCAGCGTGCACGCCATCGTCAAAGTCGCCGTCGTCTGGCTCGCCCCCCAAAACAGATATAGTCAGATCGCCGATCCGCTCGTCTGGCTTCGCGCCTTCATCTACCTGCCACCGAAACATCTGCATGCGCAGTCGTTTCACTGCGCCTTCCATGCGCGCGAGCTTGCTCCCAGTGACCCCCCGCGAACTTTGGAACACGATGCGCCGTGCGATTGCAGAACATATGCGCATGATAATACCATAGCACAGCGTGTGCATGATGTCGACTGCAATTGTCTTAGAGGGGGATGTGCCGAGCTCTTTACAAAACATCAGGTTCGGGTGGGCTGCGGGGCCCGTCCGAGTTCCATCCTCATCTTCTGTCACTCACCAAAATATCATCTTCACGGGGGGCTGTGCCGTATGCAAGTCCTGCGGGTTCCTTATGTCGTCGGAGCATTCTAACACATCCCCTTTTAAAAGGTTGACGCGGCCTCCATCCAACGAAACGTTGTTTGTCAGTGTTGGCCCATATTGCCCAGATGCTTTCAAATATTTTATTGATCTGATGATCGCTAGCTTGGTTTGTTGGTCTGGAACGTCCACCTCATGCGAAGAACTGGCACGGAACTCGTCGCACGAGTCCTCGGCAACGAGATCCCACGGCCAATGGCCGCAAGTCGCATCACCATAATGAGAATGCAAATCTACGTCGCTGGCATCGCAAAACGGACAGGGGTTATTTTTCGACCACACAGCTGGCAACCCATGTGTTTTATTCATATCGCTTAGGTCCCCTTTCAGCCAAACTAGAGCAGCCCTGAAACCCAGATTACCCCCGTATGTGGTGTGCATGCGTGACATGATGTGATCACCGTCCCATTTACGTCCCCACACATCTGTCGACGGCCGACGCCCTTCCGCCATGACCTCCAGACACCACCGTAGATAACGTAATAGTATCCATGTCGAGTGCCACCCCTTACATCCACATCGACAGCTTAGACCATATCTCCATGTTGCAATCAGATGTCTTTTGTTTGTCACCATATTAGTCAGCCATACACCCAGCATAGAGTCTGTAGTACTAGACGTAGGACTTTGATACCTCACCCCGTCTGTGTAAATCGCGATGGGCAGCGGCGGTGGCACGCCAGCGTCGGCACATTGCCGTGTGATGGCGTGTTCGGCAAAAGCTGTAGGCCACTCTGAAGGAACTACACGTTCCAGCATGCCAGGCGAGTGACGGATCTCGTCCGCCAAGCTTTCAAACACGAGAGATACTTTCAGCGCAAGCGTCGTCTCCAGAGATTTTCGGGGGTGGGTCCTGGGAACGTTGACGATTGTGTACAGAGTGCTGTCTGGAAACGCTCGATCTAACTTCTGTTGGTACTTGCCAGACTGATGCCCTGGCTCTAATGCAAATGCAGAGAAGTCAGCGCCCAAACACCCAGCACACTCGGCCCAGTGGCAGGCCACTGCAAAATCTTGAGCACTCAGCTTCCCACACGCATACACGCATTGTAGGTGTTCCAAAAGTTTTGCACCCGCGACCCGCATTTCGGTCACCTGACTATTAAAATCTCCCCGTTCGTACGATGGGACAAATGATTCAACATCCACGTATGACCACCGTTTTCTCTTATATTTGCGTGATTGCGTGGCGGGTTGCATCGCGGCCAGACCAGCGGCGAACGGAAGGCGGGCTGCGCGAGCCACACACGCTCGAGCCCTAGCACCAGCGATGAAAATACATACGGAGAGCGACGTGCAATGAGAAGGACCGATGAACCGATCGACCATATGTAACACCGACGACGGCGCGATCGATCATCACGTAAGCGTCGCACCACTCTCTCGTCACCGCACCAGCTTGTCAACGTACGAACAAGAGGTTGGGGAGAGGGCACATCCTCAGCGTTGCTGGTCTGGCCGCGAGCCACGAGCTTGCAAGGATTGAAAACGTGGCTAGCACAAAAGCAGCTAGGAAAAAAACGATGGCAGAGCAGGCAACCGTTCTTCTCTGTCTCCTCCTCCTCCTCCTCCTCCTCCTCCTCCTCTTATTCCTCCTCCTCTTCCTCCTCCACCTCTCCCTACATCATCATCCTCCTCCCCGTGCCCTCAACGCATCCCTCCACGTCTCCTTCATCATCCTCCTCCCCCAATCAACCCCTGCCACGACCCGTGGCGGTCGTCTGCCAATCTTCAAATGTGTCTTCACGCAACTGCCAACTGCTACGAGCTCCTGGCGCGACGCGCCAGAACAGATCTGCCATCAGTGTCAGGGCCAGCGCGCACCCCTGCTCGAGGCCTCTGGAGCCAGCCGCGAGATGGCGATCTCCACTACCTGGGCTCCACATCAGGGGTTCTGACGTTGACCCCCACAAAATACGCCCAACGTGGGCTGCGAACGTGCCGAAACTGCATTTCATGGGCGGCCCCAGGGAAGACGCCAGAAAACAACTCACGGACCCCCAACTTTCCAGAATCACCTGGTGCCCACCGACGCCTGGAAGGATCATCGCTGATCAACGCTCAACGCGGATCAACGCTGATCCCTTGAACCTCGTGTTTTTGTATATATATATATATATATGGTTTCGCCTCGGTCAACGTTTCCCGATCATCGCTGATCAACGCTGGGCGTTGATCCGAGTGGGGCCCCAGATTTTCGGAAATTTGTACACCGGACCGGAGAATATCCCGATCTGCCGCTTCGCCCCCCGATTCTACCCAAAATTTGGGGTGCCACCTTTCCGAAGCCTCAAAACTTGGGGTGCCACCTGTTCGAAGCCTCCACACTTGGGGTGCCAACCGCAATTTCGGGTGCCAACACGCCTACACTGTTAGTCTCTCCTCACGCCAATGATTACCCCCCCCGCGGGGAATGTGGACCATCGTTTTTGGACGGGACGCGGAGGAGGAGGATGACGAGGGGGAGAAGGAGGAGGAGGAGGAGGAGGAGGAGGAGGAGGAGGAGGAGGAGGAGGACGAGGAGGTCAGGGGCTCTCGAGGACGAGGGGGAGGAGGAAGAGGAGGAGGAGGAGGAGGAGGAGGAGGAGGCGAGGAGAAGGAGTGCGTGGTTTCGGACCCCCCCATGCACTTGGCACTGCGGGCTCGCCCCCGCCATGCACCGCCGTCACGATGATGTCGCACCTGGGCTAACGGATGCAACAGTGGTGGAGGATAGGTGCTAGGGAGAGGATGGCGAGGAAGAGGACGAGAAGCAAGAGGAGGATGAGGAGAAGGAGCGGAGGAGGATAATCGGAGGATTGTTTGAGCTAAGCGAGGTGTGATGGTGCATTTACGCATCCCGTGCACCTGCCCATTGCGACAGAAGTCGTAGTGGCACCCATCTGCATGGCTGTTCGGAGGATCCGCAGCGCCAGCTGGTCGTTCACGAAGCACCAGTGCGGCTCTTCTTCGATGACGATGCTGCTGCTGCCGATGCCTTCCGCTGCTGCTCCAGACGCGTGGCCTTCTGGGCGTTCAGCATCCCGGTCTCCTTCTGGACATTCTGGATGAGAGGGGTCACTGCCTGCACAAACCTGTTGAGGTCGTCGTCGAAGAGCTTGACTGCGTTCGCCGACGCAGTATCCTTCATGGCCTTGATCTCATCCTTGTTCTTCTTGACGTCCTGGCTCTCCTCAACCACTTGGGCCATGGCATCCTTGGATACCGTCTGGCGGAGCACCGCCAGGTCGCCGCTGATGTATGTCTCGTAGGTGCCATTGTTGCGCAGGCAGATCTCCAAGTCGTCGACCGACTTCTGCAGCGGGGCCAGGAAGTGCGGGTTGTTGAAGTAGTTCCAAATCGAGCTTGATTCCGAGTTCTCAACCTGGTGCTTCAGCGTCTTCGCCGCCGCCATCGCCAAACCGTAGTCCATCTTGATCGCCTTGGCCTTGTTCATCGTGAGCGCCTCTGGCGAGGCCCTGGCCGCTGGGCGCTTCTTGACGAGTGGTTGCTCATCCGCCTCCTCGCCATCCTCGTCCTCGGGCGTCTCGTCACAGTCGCCCTCCTCCTCGTCCTTGTCATCCTCACCCTCGGCGCCCTCCTCAGCTGCATCCTCACCTGTCGCCATCTCCTCTGCCTTGCGCTTGGGCGCTGCCGTCGCCTTGCCCTTCGCCTTGGGCCTGGCGACCACCTGTACCTCCATCTGCTCTGCCTTGCGCTTGGGGACACCCTTGGCGGCCGCCTTCTCGATCGTCGCGGCGACCCCCGTGGCGGCAGCCTTCTCGATCGTCGCGGCGACAGCCGTGCCCTGTGCCGCGGCAGGCGTGCTCTGGTCCTGCGGGTGGCGTGCTTCAAGATCAATCCCCTTCCCCCCTTGTTGTTTGCCAGACGACGACGACGACGACGACGACGACGACGACGACGACGACGACGACGACGACGACGTATGATGTTCTGAGTCTAAGGGGCTCCTGCACTTGCGCCCAGCCCTGGCCGCACGCCCCGCACGCCGCGAGGTCCAAGCCGCATCGGCAAAGTTGCCGCGGCTCCTCCATGCGGAGGGGAATCCCGCAATGACCCCGAGACCACTAGTGGAAGAAGCACCGAAGACGTCCCGCGAGCCTCAGGGGCCCCACTCGTCATCGTGTTTCGTAGTCGTAGCGTTGCTCTGCCGCGGTCCTTAAGCTTCGTCGTCCACGACTTGACCGTGAGGGTCCACGCCTCCATCTGCTCCTCCTGGATGCCCTCCGTCTTGTACAGGAAGAGCAGCGCCTTCCTCCAGGTGCAGTACTTCACCCACGGGAACCCCATGGCCAAGCAGCGCAGGCAATAGTTCGCCGCCGTCGTCGAGTTCTTGTCCTCCTCGGCGCACCTCTCGGCGGTATAGTACCGAGCGTCGCTGTACTCCTTCTTGGACTGCCGCCTGGTGTGCACCTTCTCCTTCATGTAGTTCTCGTACTGCTCTTTGCACCACTTCCTGCGATAGTCAGCTTGCAAATCGAGCTTCCCCTTGAGCTTGGCGTACTCGTCTTTCTTCGCAGGGTTCGCCGCCAAGTACCTCTGCCACCGGCCGCCCTGTGGATTGCCGCTTGACCCGCGAGTCGGGACGGCGAAGTTGTTGTCCTTGCAGTGCTTGTAGTACATGCCGTCGTTCGTCACGTCCTCATCGATGTCGAAGTCATCTGCGAGCTCCGATGCACCATCACCGACTGCTGTGCTCGGAGTGCGTGGGTTGTGCATCCACGTCTTATCGTTCTTGAACATCTCGAGGAACTGTGTGCCGAGCCCGATGGGCGCGTTCTGGCTCTGCTCCTTCTGGACCATGAAGGCCGCCTTCGCAAGGCGCGTCATCGCTTACTGCCGCGAACTCGCGAAGCATCGCGCGTCAACGCCAATCAACGCCGCGGCGTTGATCGGCGTTGACTCGCGATGCTGCGCGGTTGTCCGTCAGCAGTTCAGCTGATGACATACCCTGCCACCTTCTTCTCCAGGCGCCGCTCCAGGTCCGTCTCCGAGTCGATCAAGCTCTCCAGTTCGTCTGCCCACTGCGCGGTGCTGCCAATGCCGACCTTGGCGGGCGGCGTGAACGGGGCCATGTACTGCAGCGTTGAAGCGTTCGGGTCGTCGGCCTGCGTCAGCACACGGGCGAGCGCCTCCGCCTCGTTGGTCTCCGCTGGCACCGTGGGGGTGTCAACATAGCTCGCAATCGTCTCGGCCGCGGCGGCGCCACTGACGGCCGCGGGCGCCTCGGCCGCGGGCGCCTCGGCCGCGGGCGCCTCGGCCGCGCCGCCGCCGCTCTCGGCCGCGTCCGCGGCGCGCTCGGCCGCTGGCGCCTCGGCCGCTGGCGCCTCGGGCGCGCCGCCGCCGCCGCCTCCCTGCAGGCCTGCTTGGTCGACCAGTGGTCGGTCGTCACCTTCGCTGCCACTGTCAATCGTCTGCACCCGTGGCTGCTCGGCCGTGTCCGAGTGAGTGGCATCCGCGAGCGTGGCAGCCGCCTAGGGATCAACAAAAGGATGAGCAGGAGGAGGAGGAGGAGGAGGACGAGGAGGAGACTGAGGAGGAGGAGGAGACTGAGGAGGAGGAGGAGGAGGAGGAGGAGGAGGAGGAGTAGGAGCAGGATGTGGCACACGCCTGGGAGCCCTGTGCTCCAGCGTCCTCCATGGCCGACGCGCGCAATAATCCCCTCCCTAGAGGGGTCGACCAAAAGTTCTTGCGAATCGGAGAGTTGTACTCGATTTTCATTAACACCTCAGCCTCGAGTACTACGGAGTTCAGTCGTGACTGTCGGGGTGCGTCGGGGACATGCATGGACTTAGGAGGGGGTGCGGAACGGAATAGTATATAGCAGCATCGCTGATACATCTTGGGTTCTTTCTGGTCCTCCTCCTCCTCCTCCTCATCATCATCATCAGCATCATCATCATCATCATCATATTCCTCATCATCATCATCATCATCATCATCATCATCATCATCAGCATCATCATCATCATCATCATCATCATCATCATCATCATCATCGGCATCCTCATCCTCATCCTCATCCTCATCTTCTTTCCTCCTCCCAGCCCCTAGCTCTGCCCCCCCCCGTGTTCCTCGCAGAGGCTTCCTTGGGGCCCGACGGTTTATCCAACCCCCTAGGTCAGCAATCTTCGCGCCCTCGCGAGCCCCCCCCTGGAGACGGGCTGATTATTTTGAGAAAGCCAGGCCGCGATTATCTTCGCGCCCCCTCGACCCCGTCCTCGACGCTGCATTTTTCACGCCGCCCCCAGTTAGAGCTGTCACATGTCGCCCGCGCAGCGGCGGGCGATCACAGGGTGAGGCTCCCCCTGACGTGCAGCGTCCTCGCCTGCTGGAGCAAGCTCTCTGGCGGCGGCATGCTCAGGGGGTCGTCGCTCTCGCTGTTGCTCTGCTCCTTGCTGCTGGGGCTGATCCTCCTCAGCTTCCCCATCCCCATCCTCCCCATCCGCCTCTTCCTCTTCGTCCTCCTCATCTTCCTCCTCCTCACCCCCCTCCTCCTCCTCCTCCTCCTCCTCTTCCTCCTCCTTTTCCTCCTCCTCCTCCTCTTCATCCTCATCATCCTCATCCCTCTTATCCTCCCTCATCTCCTCGTCTCCCTCTCCATTCCGCTTTTCCCGTGCGCCGTCCTTCGGCACTCCAGCTGCATCTGGCCCAGCTGCTACATCAGGCTGAGATGCTGCATCTGGCTCAGGTGCTGCATCTGGCTCAGCTGCTGCACCTGGCTCAGCTGCTGCAGGTCGTCGCTTGGCTGGTCCACCTGCGCGTGGCTGATCTCCTGCAGGTCGCTTAAGTGGTACAGCTGGCTCTGGCTCTGCTTCTTCAGGTGGTGCTGCCTCATCTGGCTCTGGCTCTGCTTCTCCAGGTGCATTCGTCTCTGGCTCTGTCGCACGTGGCTGCTGCATGGCTGGCCTCTTCTTGACGGCTGCACCTTGAGCATCATCGGGATCGCCGTCATCTGCTGTCGCTGCTGCTGGTCGTTTTTGTAGAGGCTTCGTGGGCTTGTCCTCCATGTCCAACAACTCCTTCTTAAACTCTGCTTTCTCGGTCTCCGCGTCCTTTTTCACGAGGTCACCACTGGCCACCCGTGTGCATATATCCTTCATCTTCTCTGCTGTTGCGCTGATTTGGGATTCACTGAACGTAGTGACCACCATCTGCAATCTCCACGCCGTCTTGCCGTCCACGCATTCCTGTATCCTCAACATCTCCACGTCTGGCACATTACCTCTCGTGCTGTCGCCCCTTGCGCCTCTCCGTTTGGCGCAAGAGGCGCCACGTGTTGCCGTTGGCTCCCGTCGGCTCGAGCAAGTATGGCCGTGCACTGCCGCCTGTGGTGCCGCTGCTCAGCTCCTTGACCACTGCCCATGTAGTTTCGCCCTTCATCTCCCACTCGTAGCCGTCGTGCCACTTGGCGATGGCCCAGTCCTCGGGGTTGTGCGTCTCGGGCAGCTCCACGTGCAAGCTCGGCTCGGCAATGGGGCACGCGTCGGTGCCCTGCATCTCTCTGTATGCCACCATCTCATCAGCTTTGAAGCGATGGTTGTAGATCAGGTCGGTCTGAGCGGTGTCCGTGCTCTGCTCCTGTGCCGCCCGCCAAAACGGCACGAGCCAGTCCTGCGGTTCTTTGGACTCGTCTTTCTTGCGGGCCTCGTTGTACTTCAACAGGGCCTGGTCTACGTCACGTCGTGCTGCTCTCGCTCGTTTGGCTTGTTTCTCCGCCCACCCCTGCAACTCACGTCCTAACGTCCACTTGGAGTCGTTGTGCAAGCCCGCCCGCTTGAACGCGGCTATGGCGGTGGGCGAGTTGATCCCGCCCATGAGTAGCAGCACTGACCTGTATTGCTGTATGACATCTGTGTCGCGAGAGCCGCACATCTCTTCACGGTGCGGAATGGGGGCGGACGTGGGCAGAGCGTCGACGATGGCTTGCTCGAGCGCAGTGAGTTGCCCATCTCCGCTCGAGTCTGGATGCCTCTCTTTTTTGGGGGTCATTTCTGCATCCTGAAACCGTTCGAGCCGAACCGCCGATAGAGGAGGGGCGGGCTGGGGTCTGGAACGTGCATCTTCCAGCGTGTACCCCAAACAGTGTGTTTCTAGCACTTGGGTGATACACCCTGGTGTAATGTATGTGGTGTCATCTACGTGGTGTAAGCTACATGGTGCAATCTAGGTGGTGCAATTTCTATGGTATATGGCCCCAACACGCGCCGATGACCCCAAGAGAACAAACTCGCCTGTCCACTAGCAAGCGTGGGCCACGAAGGCGTACTACACGGGCCGCCTGACGAACGGCTGCCCACAGGCGTGTTAGTATATGTAGGTATACATGCAAACATATTTGTGCCTATGTGGTGCAATCTCTGTGGTATACGGCCCCAAACAGGGCCGATGACCCCAAGAGAACAAAACCGCCTGCCCACTAGCAAGCGTGGGCCACGAAGGCGTAATCCACGGGCCGCCTGACGAACGGCGGCCCACAGGCGTGTTAGTATATGTAGATATACATGCAAGCATATGTGTCTATGTGGTGCAATCTCTGTGGTGTATGGCCCCACAAAGTGCCGATGACCCCACGAGAGCAACACCGCCTGCCCACTAGCAAGCGTGGGTCACGAATGCGTAATCCACGGGCCGCCTGACGAACTTCGGCCCACTGGCGTATTAGTATATGTCGAGATACATACACACATATATGTGTCAATGTGGTGCAGTCTCTGTGGTATGCGGCCCCAAAAAGTGCCGATGGCCTCAAGAGAGCAAAACCGCCTGCCCACTAGCCAGCGTGGGCCACGAAGGCGTGATCCACGGGCCGCCTGACGAACGGCGGCCCACAGGCGTGTATGCATACAACCATATATGTGTCTAGGTGGTGCAATCTCTGTGGTGTATGGCCCCCAAAAGTGCCGATGACCCCAAGAGAACAACACCGCCTGCCCACTAGCAAGCGTGGGCCACGAAGGCGTAATCCACGGGCCGCCTGACGAACGGCGGCCCACAGGCGTATATACATACAACCATATATATGTGGTGCAATCTCTGTGGTATACGGACCCCAAAAGTGCCGATGACCCCAAGAGAACAAAACCGCCTGCCCACTAGCAAGCGTGGGCCACGAAGGCGTAATCCACGGGCCGCCTGACAAACGGCGGCCCACTGGCGTGTTAGTATATGTAGATGTACATAGAGACACATATGTGTTTATATATATAGATATATATGTATGTATATGTCTATATATGTGCATATATACATACTTATGTTTATGTTTATGTATACGTATATGCATATGCATATGTGTATGTATATACATATATTTGTGTGTATGTATACGTATGCATATATGTACATGTATATGTGTGTATATATATATGGATACGTTCATGTATGTGTATATATGTATGTATATGCGCATGTACATGCAATATATGCATATATACACATAATTATGTGTATGTGCATGCATACATGCGCACAGAGGCTCGGATCAAATTTTATGGTTCGGATCAGATTTGATGGCTTGGATCAGATTTTATGGCTTGGATCAGATGTTTGTGTTTTTTGGGGTCGGATCAGATTTGTATGTTTGCATCAGATTTTGTACTTCACAATATCCTGGATCAGCCCAGCTGATCCTGCGGACCCCAGGGTAGTCGGGCTGGATGCCGGGGCCGCCCCGAGCGTCCGGTCTTGACTAGATGTGGCTCCCTCCCATTTGCGCGCGCTCCCTGACCCTCCCCTTCCTCCTCGCCTTCCTGTTGCCCTGATCAGTCGTAAAAAGTTGGTCTCATCTGCAGTGTGCACGGTGCTGTTCAGTTCCCTTGTAGTGTGCATGATGCGCTCTTGCTTTGTCATGTCTGTCCTGCGCGCCGCGCTGTGCAGCCACCCTGCCTTGTGCGCGTCGTGCTCCCGCCATGCCATATTCGTCGTGCTTTTAGTTTCTGTCTTGGGCTGCTCTCTCAACCCACCCGTGCTGAGCCTTCGTGCCGCCAGCAGCACCTGTTCGAGACCACTGGTTAAAGGGGCGTCAAGAGGCGTTCAAGATCGGGGCCGCCCCGCGGGTCCTGGGGCCGTCGGCGGCCCGCCGTCCGCTTTGTCGCCCGCCCGCGACGCGGTTTCCTCGCCCCCCTTTCCCCTCTCCTGCCCGCCCAGGGTCCCGAACGGGGGTCCGGCCGTTTTCCGCCTGCGCCAGGATCGGTTCCCACGCACCTGGAGCCGTTGGTTTCAGCCTTTAGTCTTCATGTTTTACCTTTGTCCCGCCTTGGCAGTCGGCCGCCCCATTTTGGTTCGGCGTGCAGCCTCTCCCCCTCCCCTCTCTTCCTCGGCAGCT